TTTTAATAAAAAAAAAAAAAAAAAAAAAAAAAAAAAGAGGAAAAATAAGCATCTTATTACGCTTAATTTTTATTATTTATATCATTTTTCTTCTAAATAATTTCCATTAAATAAAAAAAAAAAAAATTAACATAAAATTTATTCTTTATATTTGAATTCTTATTTTTCAATATACAAGCATAACTTTTTTTTATCATTAATACTTGGGTTTGTAATATAATATTATTTTAAACAATTTATTTAAATATAAATTATTTCTTATATCTTTTAATAATTCTATATTTATTTTTATTATAAAAATATATCTAAGAATAATTTCTTAATATATGTCATTTATATGTTAGTAATTTATATTATAGATAATACGTAGTGAATGTTTAAAAAAGAAATTTTCTATTTCTTTCATTTTTAGTCTTTTTTTTCTTTTTTTTTTTTTAACACAATATTTATTAGTAGTTTTTTTTTGTAAAAATTATGATGATAGAAGACTTCATTTTTTAAATTATATGATTGTTTATGTTAAATATTACTAAAATTTTAATATGCTTTTTTTAAGAAATTAAAATTGAATATAATTTTTATTACATAATGAAATTATCCTTATTTTATGCTTAGAAAAAGGTTTTTTAAACAGATAAATTACTTGAAATATATTAAGAAAAAAAGGAAAAAAAAGAAAAAAAACTTGTTTTATATATATAATTTTATTCTACTAATTAATGTATATAATTTTAAAACTTACATTTTCCATTTTTAAGGATAATTTTTCATTTATCATAATTTATAAATTTTTTTTTTTTTTTTTTTTTTTTTTTTTTTGTAAAGTTTTGTATATTTTACTTTTAAATTTTTATACTTTTTAATATAAACATATATTTTAACAAATTTTATTTAAAGTTAATTTTTTCTTTATATTTATTAATATTTTTTTTAAATTAATTATTAATTTTACTAAATTATTTTTAAAAATTTTTAATATTTATATTTTTCTTTTTTATACATTTTTTTTAAATTTTTTAACAATATTGTTAGTACAATTTGAGGAGTATATGTTTTATATATAATTTTTTATATTTCTTTTCTTATAAAATTAAAAATTTTAAATAAAAATTCATAAAAGTAGAAAAATAACAATAAAATAAAAACTGAATCTAATTTTTTAATTTATTATGTTGTTTTCTTTATTATTTTTATAGTAAATTAATATATATTAATAATTTAATAAGAAGAAATTTTTTTCATGAAAATATAATTTTTTTTTTTTTTTATTTGTAAAGTTAAAATGACATTTTTTTTTTTATAAATTTTCTTATTAATATATAATAATAATTTAGAAAAACTGCATTCATATATTTCTTTGAAAATATATATATATATATATATATAAGAAACTTACAATTAAATATATATATTTATTATATAGATACGTATTTAGTGCAGATATACATGTATAATTAATTAAAATGAAAAAACAGGGTAACAACCTGAGTACTCTTAATGATATTAACAATCAAAATGAGGAATCACAACATAATTATTTAAATTCTAATTTAGATAATTATAAATATTGGCAATATAATACGATTTTACTTTACAATGTTATTATGATATATACATGTGAATGGCCATCATTATTTATAGAATGGTTACCAAATGTTTATAAGTTAGAATCAAAATATATATATTAAAAAAAAAAATATAAAAATAGTATATATATTATATACATACTTTTTTTCTGTTTTTTTTAACAGAAGTGATGAAGACTATTATTATCAAGATTTAATATTGGGGACATATACAACCGAAAAAAATAATTACATTTTGATTTTAGAAGTATAAAATAAAATAAGATTAATATTTATATAAAAATATTCACTATCTGAATTTTTTTTTTTTTTTTTTAGGTTAGCTTGCCGAGTGAACAATTTTCTTTTTCTAGCTTTTATTATGAAAAAATAAATGACTATAGACATAATTTTTGTAATGATACTAGTAAAAATTTCAAAATAAAGAATAAAATATATCACGAATGTGAAATAAATAAAATAAGTTGTAACCCGAAAAATTCAGATGTAATAGCTTGTTTTTCATCAGATGGCAATATTAATATTTTAAATTTAGCAAATTATCAATATGAAGAAAATGAACTTAAAAAAAATATAGGAAATTTCGATTTTATTTTAAAGGGACATTTATATCAGGGTTGGGGATTACAGTGGGATGAAGAAAATGATTTAATTTCATCTTGTGCAGATGATTCATATTTATGCATATGGGATATTAATTCAGGAAAAAAAGTAGTTAATCCATTAATGAAATTTTTTAATAATAATATACCTTTACAAGACTGTTGCTGGAAAGATAAAAATGTTTTAACAGTTTCAGAAAATGGTTATATAAATATATATGATATACGTAGTAAAAATTTAGTGAATTCAATAAAAGCAACAAATTTCACTTTAAATTCAATTGACATAAATCCACATAATAGAAATATTTTTGCAACAGCTGGTACTAATAAAGAAATAGATTTATGGGATATTCGTTGCACAAGTAAATCATTGCATCGAATTATTTCACAAAAAGAAACTATCATAAAATTAAAGTGGGATAAATATCAACCAGGAATTTTATCTTCCTCATCAAGTGATAAATATATTTATTTTTTTGATACAAATAAAATAGGAATAGAACAAACATACGAAGATTCTCAAGATGGACCTCCTGAGCTTATATTTATTCATGGTGGCCATTCTTCTAATATTTTAGATTTTTCATTAAATACATCCTATTCAATGGTATATTAGAATTTTGAAAAAAATTAATATATAAATGACTTATTTTATAATTACTAATATAGTAAGTGCAAATTTTTTTTTTTCTGTCTTTTTTTTTTATTTTTTTTTTTTTACAGATGATTTCTTCTATTAGTGAAGATAACACACTACACATTTGGCAACCATCCAAGCAAGCATTCGAAGATGCATCAGATACATATGATGATACTGAAGTTGAATAAATAGATAATTCTTATATTTAGTGTATTTTTTTTTTTTATATAAATCTATATTATTTTATATTATATATATATATGTATATATATATATATGAATTTGTTTAATTTTTTTTTTTTTTTTTTTTTTTTTTTTTTTAGTTATGATCTTAGCAAATGTTAAATATTTTATTAATTTTGTTTTGTTCTTTTTATTGTTTTTAAAAGTTTTATTAAACTATTTTTTTTTAAATATAACATTATAATTTTTTTTAATTTTATATGTTACAAGAAGTTAATATATGTATTTAAAAATTTTACTAGATAAAAAAAATTTACAAGAAAATTTATAACTTTATATATGTATGATTATGTGCTTTTATAAAAAATGAAAAATACATAAAAAAAAGCTTTCTTAAAATAAATTATAATCAATTTTTTTAAATGATGCAAAAAGTTTATTTTTTCACAATTTTCGTTTTTTTTTTTTTTTTCTTTTTAATATATATATAAAAATTTATTTTATTTATTTATTTTTTTTTTTTTCTTTTTAATATATATATATAAATTTATTTTATTTATTTATTTTTTTTTTTTTTCTTTTTAATATATATATATATATATAAATTTATTTTATTTATTTTTTTTTTTTTTATCTTCATAATTTTGTTAAGAATATTAGGCAAAATCAATGGCTGTAAAAGTAAATGAATATATTTTATTTAAATGATTACATAAGTTTTTTCTTTTTATTGACATTCACAAGAATAACAAATATAAAAAAGAATGTAAAGATATATATTTTTAAAGTTTTTTAATATATTATTTTTTTTAAAAAATTATGAATTAATAAAATAAATAAAATTTATATAAAAATATATATATATTTTTAAACGTTCTCTGTACATACTCACTTTTTTTACTTTATATTTTTTTCATCTCCCTATTTCTATTTCAAATTGGATTTTTATCTGTATTTTCTATATCATTATTTTTAACATTTCTGTTTTTCTCTTCTATTTTCCCTGAATTTCTAACTATATGATTATTATCATTTTTGTAATTTTTCTTTTCCTTATATTCTTCATAATCTTCATCATTGTCATCTTCATCAACATCATAATCATCATCATTATCATCATCATCATCATCATCATCATCAACATCATCATCAACATCAACATCAACATCAACATCAACATCAACATCAACATCATCATCATCATCATCATCATCATCATTATCATCATCATCACCATCATCATCATAGTCTTCCTTATATTCATCATTATAATTATCATGAAAAACTCCAGTTTCATTTTTTTTAATATTATCTACCTCAATTTCTTTATGTTCTTGATTAATAGATTTATTATTTACAATTTGTTCTTTTAATACATTATTTTGAATATTCTCATTTTTGGAAAAATTATGAGACAGTGGTGTTGTTATGTTATTATCAATGTTATTCATTTCCATAATGTCTTGATTTTTATTAAAATCTATATCTTTTTTCTGAAAGAAAGAATTATTAAATGTATTATCACTATTACTTATATTATTTTTATTTAATAAATTACAATCATTATTGTTAATTAACATATCCATATTTTGTATATCTTTTGAATAATCATTATTCTGTAAATTTAATTTATTTTTTAAATCATAATCTTGAACATTATTATTTAACATATTATTATTATCCATGTGTTTAATTTTCATTATATCATTTTTTTTTTCATTGCTTTTTATTTTATTATCTTCTTCATAATTCACATTTTCTATTAATTTGTTCATATTATTTCTATTTTTTGAAATATCATTTTTATATTTACTTTTTATCCATGAGTTTTTTATATCTTCTCTTTTCTTCATTTGATCTACAATGATCCGAGCAAGCTCAAGAAAGGATCTTAATTTCGAAAACAATTTAATAGATGGTTTTACTTTTCTTCTAATTTTAGAATGTTCCTCACAAAATATAATCGAATTTGGTATTTTTGCTAAATCTACACTTGATGCATTAGGGTGCATTTTAAAAAAGTTATAATCAAATTCAAAAAATAATTTGTGAATACGAGCACATGAGATATGAAAGTAATTTGTACAAGCATTTTCTACACATTTTTGAGTATAACCATAAGTTAAATTACAAATATAACATGTATTTTTATTAAGATGCTTTTTTAACTTATCTTTAATTATTATTTTGTAATTATTTTTTTTTCTATTTAAGTTATAATAATATAAGTTTGTCTTTTTATTACAAGATATCCTTTTATTCATATCACTCATATTTTTATATTTATTAAGAGGTGTTAATTGTTTACTTTTTTTTATTTTCTTTGCATATTTCTCCATATTATTTATGGCAAAATTACCTTCTTTTATTTTGCTATAATTATCAAACATAGAAATGTTACTTTTATATACTGTATGACCTTTTTCTTGAATATTTTTATCTTCATTTTCCTTCTCATTTTTATTAGAAGCAGTACCACCTTCTTGATTATTTATAAAAGTATTATCAGAATTTTTTTCTTTTTCAATTAAAGAAGAATTTATTTCACTTTCATTGATTACATCAAAATTTAATTCATTATTTTTTTTTAATTCTTCATCATTATTATAATTATTCTTAACGGAGTTACTTACTATATTTTCCATAGCATTATTTAAGACTGTTTTTGAAGTATTAATCAAATCATGTACATTATTTGTGTTTTCTTTCTCTTTATTAACTTTTTCATTTCTTTTATTAAAATTAAAGGAAAGTTTTTTATAAATATTATTATCTTCTATTGTATCAATAGTATTTTTTTTATCAATGCATTTTTTTCCACTGTTTCTATGATTAATATACGATTGTTTAAAAAAAAATTCATTAAGTAAACTTTGTTTTTCATCATAATAATATTCTTCATTTAAAACCTGAATTTCTGAATCTGATAGAAAATTCTTTTCCTTCATAATATCTTCTTCACCATAATCATTCAAAGCAAAATTGTCATAATTGTAATACTGATAATATTCTTCACTAATATCCTGAATGATTATCTGTGGTGAAAACAAAGCACATTGCATATGGACAAAAATAAAATCCTTTTCATTTTTTATAAAATTATTTTTCTTATTTTTATTTTTATCAAGCTTCATATAATCATTAACTTTTACAATTTTAATTGCTCCACCCCTTCTGCTACATAATATACAGTTTACGTTTTCATAATTATAATTATTTGCACAAAGATCACAAACAAATAATTTTTTTTCTTCTATATCATCAATATCAGTTATACATTTTTCTTCATCGTTTATGTATTTATTACACAATTTATAGAAATTATCCATTTTACTAAACTCTTTTAATTTATGAATAAATTCAATATTTTTATAATCCTGAGTAGCATGTAAACAATTATTAATTTCATTTTGTATTAATTGCCTTATTATATTAGAACGCTCAAATTTTTTTTCGCAACTTATTTTATCATTCACAAGAATATTATTATTCATATCTTTATTATTATTATTATTATTTTCATTTTTATCTATTATATTACATTTATTTGCATTACTTACGTCTTCTAGATCATTATTAGTAACACTGCCTTTTAAATTTGTTGTGTTATCTTGATAATTTTCATGTACATTAATTTTACTATTTAATTCAAGAACATTTTTAGAATCATTTTTGAGATAATTATTTGTATTTGCATTTGTATCATAACAGTTAGTCAAATTAGATTCAGCAGTATACTCATTATTTTCTTTTTTTAATTCATTCTTTGATACATATTTATCCAAATCATTTGATTTTTTATATGGTAGTAATAATTCAGAATCTTTTAAATTATTATTATTATTATCATTACCATTTTTATCATGAAGTAAATTAATAATAGATTCTTTTTTTACTTTTATTTGATCGATTATGTTTTTAATTTTTTGCTCTTTATTATGTATTAAAAATGTATATACTTTTTTTTTTCTTTTATAAAAATGATATTCAATAAAACTAGAATCAACTAAATAGCATTTTTTATGAACACATATATTACAATATTTGCAATATAATAATTGTTTCCTATTATGAGAAGTAAAACATACTAAGCATATGTTATTTTTTATATGATCAATTGTTGGGAGAAGAAAAAAATTAAATTGATAAGCATCTAAATAATTAAAATTAAAAGCTAAAATTTCATATATATCACCCTTTTTATTATTATTTGAATTATTACGTATTTTATATTTTAGAGAATTTTTCTGTTTTCTCTCTTTTTTATTATTTTCATATATATTAGGATACAAATCTCTATTCAAATATTTTGTTCTTCTTTTAATTATCTGATCGTATATATTTAAAATACCATATTTTTTTATAGAATGACTGATACATTTAATAAAAAAAAAGATACGAGGAAAACAATAATCTATTTTATTTCTAAACTTGAGAAATTTTTTATTAGAATTTTTACATTTTATATATAATCCACACATAAATGCACATAAAGGATGAATATATTTTTTACAATTTATATTTTCACATTTTATAAAAATTCCTTTTGTTTTCAAACATACATCACATCTAATATTTTTATTTTCGTAACCACTTAAAAGATATGGGCTTTCTATATAATTAAAAATATTCAATTTATTTTTTATGTTGTTATTTAATTTAATACCATTCCTATCTGATAAAGTTGATACAGAACACAATGAACTTGAAAAAAAAGAAGAAGATGAATGTGAAGAATTTTCATCTATATCTGAATTTATGTTAACCTTTTTAGCATGTATCTTATTATTATCATCTTCATTGTCAACATCTTCACTGTTTTTACAAATGACTTCTTTTATATCACAATTTATTAATGAAACTTCATTTTCTTTATCAGTTATATCTTTTTTGTTTTCTCTTTGATTGAAATCATTATATTCTTTTTTGATTTTATTTTTATTATTATTATATAATTCTTTCATAATCTTTTTGTTATCTTCAATAAAACCATTTTTACTATTTTTCTTATTTATGTCGTGAATATATTTTTTCGATTTTTCAGAAATTCGTATGTTATTCATTCCACTATCTAACCTATCAATATTAATTTTTTTTTTTTTTTTTTTTAAATCTTCAAAATCATATGAATTTTCACTTAATCTTTTTTTATCTTCTTTTTTTATGAATGTAAAAAAATCATAAATTTTTGCTTCTCTTTTTTTTGAAGCTTTTATTACCTCATTTTTTTTTGTAGTTTTGCTATCATTAGAATAATCATTTAATAAAGAAGCCTTTATTTTATTTTTATTTTTCTCTCCTATATTTGTACCATTAATAATTTTGTTTTCAGAAGAGATGTCTTTTGTATGATTAAAACCTGAAATATAATTATCTTTATCTTTATTTTTAATTAATGAGTCATCATTTTTATTTTTTTCTATGTTCATTATGTTTGATTTCAAATCTCCTAATACTAATTTATTATTTTTGATTAAATAACTATTAGGTTCATTAATTCTAGGAATATTCTTATCGTTTAAGGTATTGGTATTTTTAAAGGAATAATTTTCTTCATATAATTTATTATCAACACCATTTTCTTTTTTTGATAAAGTAGATGAAGATGATGGAATATTTTTGTTAATGATTTTTGTATCACCCTGTTCATATTTAAATTTTAAAATATCATTAACAATATTATTTTTATGTTCATTTTCTTTTATTTCTTTCTCTATGTTTCCCTTTTCTTCTCGTTCATATCTTATTTTATTTTTATCTTCTTCTATCATTAATTCCCGTATTTCCCTCTTTTTCTTCTGTGATTTTCTTTTCCTTTTTTTGAACATGGAAAAAATTTCTTGGGTTAAAGATAAGTTATTTAATTTTAAAAATTCATCAAAATTTTCCAAATTTACATTTGTATTAATTAATATATCAGGAACACAAAATAATGCACAAAATGTATGAACAAATATATTGCTGTTCATTTGAATAAAGGCTCCTCCCCTTTCAATGCATATATAGCACTTAATATTATTATCAAATAAATATAAATAATTATTACCTAAAGATTTTTTTTCAAATTCACATCTTTGACATAACCATTCATTACTATTTACAGATGTATTATTCTGTGTGTTACTGAGAATATTTTCATCTGATTTTTTTGTTGAAATGTAGCAAAATTTATGAACATGTATATAACATCTGCTGCATCTTAACATCAAGTTTCGATTATTTTTTACATTTTTTTCTATAATAGATAAATCGATATTACCTGTTTTATTATTAGCATTGTTTGATGTATTACTATCTTTAACTTGGCATATATTAACTTCATTATTATTACTTGAAAAATCATTAACATTATTAGTGTTATTTTTTGTATCTAATATATTAACCTCTGAATTTAATTTATTTTCTTCCTTTTTTATATAATTTTCATTCTTTATATGTAAATTAATTTTGTTAGCATTTTTATCTGTTTTATTTTTTGTACTTACTATTTCATTCTTATTTTCTGAATTTGTAACATTTTTTATAGAATTATTTCTTGAAAATGTTTTTACATTATCATTTTGTTCATTTATTTGCATACTATTATAATCATCATTAAAACATACACAGCAATATGAAAATACAGGAGTTATATTTAAATCGTTATTATTAGAGAAACCACAAAATTTTTCTTCATCATTAATAAATGATGCTTCATTGCAATTAGAATATGAAAAATTATCATTAAAAAATGTATTTCTATTTTGTTTATGAAATTTGTATTTTAAAAAAACACTATATTCAAAAGAAGGAATTTTCTGTTTTTTATATTTATAAGAAAATTGATGTAAATCAAATATAGACTTAATATTTATATTCTTATAAATGGTCTGATCATTTTCTGATTTATTAATTTTATTGTTAATTAAATTAATATTATACAATAAAGAATATCTTAATTGATTCCACCTCTCAAACATTATATATTTATAAATTATTTCTTCACTTTTTTCTATATTATCACTAATTCTAATTGGTGTTTTATTTTCTTTTATAACTTTTTTTAATAACTTGTTACAGATACTACTTAATTTTTTTTGTATATTATTCATGTAAATTAATAAGCATACTAAGTTTTTATCAACAAATCGAGAATTTTTAATATAACTTTCTATTAATTTTTCATCTTCACATAACAAGTCTATTATAATATCTTTATCAATAGGTACATCATTTTCAAACATTTCATTTTCTTCATCGTCTATTTTATTTTTTTCATTTATTTTTTCTATTTCATCTTCATCATCTTCTTCTTCTTCTTCCTCACCTAATAATTTATTTTTTTTATTTTCATTTTTTTCATCCAGCAATTTGCTTTTATTTTTTACTCCTTTTTTTCTGCCTCTTCTCTTTCCTTTTTTTCTTCCTCTTTTTTTCTTTACATTTTCTTCTTCTACATCATCCAAATTATTTAATTCTCTTTTATTTATTAACGGTGATAACGAATATTTTTTATTACTAACTTTGCTGTTTATTCTTGAACTTTTACTTAACTTTAAATCTTTTTTCAAATTAAAATGCATATTTTCGTTTTGTATTCGATCATTAGATATTTTATGCCTAATAGAATTATATAAATATATATCTCTATCTTTGTGTTTTATATTTATTTCTTCTTCCTCTTCATCTTCATTAAAAAAATGGTTATTATTTGTTATATGTTCTTCATTTTTTATTCTTTGTAATTTTTTCTCACTTTTTATCTCTTCTGAATCATTTTCATTAAGATTTTCTGTATTTTCTTCCACATATTTACAATTATTTTCATCTAATTTATTATATTCACCCACATTATAAAATAATTTATCATTTCCATGTAATTTGCTTTCCGTTTTCAATTTTATTTTTTTATCTCCTATATCATTTTTATGAATATTTATAAAATTATTTCCATCTCTATACATCATTTTTACATTATCCATTTTTAAATTATTTATATTATTGTTACTTTTTCTATTATTAATATCATTTTTTAAATATATATTATCATTATTTTCGATGTTTACTCTTGTAATTATTTTTTTTTTTTCTCTAAGGTGATCTGTATTCGTACCTGAACTTCTTATATCTATATTATGATTTGAAGAGATATTTTCTTCGGTTAATCTTTCACTTTTAATTTTTATATGTTTTTTTTTATTCTTTAAATTACCGGTTGAAGAACAATTTAAGGAATTTGAACTTGAGTAAATATCATTATTAGATTCTGAATTTATTTTTTTTTTTATATTATTTTTTGAAAAATGTTTATACTGCAAAATATATTTTTGCATTTTCAATAAAAGATAATATTTTTCAAAAATATTAAATAAGGTTGGATTATTAGGCCATATATAATTGTCAATTAGAACAGCATCGTTGTAATTGTACTTATCACTTCCATTTTTATTAAAGTTATCATAATTTTCATAAATACCTATCCTAGAATATTCATTTTTTTCTATTTTCATATTTTTATTTAAGTATTTATTAACAAGGTTCATTTCTTTTTCACTTAATTTGTCATTTTCAAATATCTCTTTTTTTATATCTACATTTAAATTGACATTAATATAAGAACTTATTTTTTTCTTATCAATTAAAGGAAATAATAGTATGTTCTTGTATAATTTCGTTTTTTTTATATTTTTTTTTATTCTTTTATTATTGTTTCCTATTTCTTTTCTGCATTCATCTATTTCATCTTCATTATTTTTGTAAGCATAGGATGGAACGTAATTATAATCATTTTTAATTTTATTATTAGACATGATTGCTTCATCATCTTTTTCTCTTTTTACAAATATTCCTTCTAAAGTGCCATTAATTTCTGTTTTTTTCTTGTTCATATCATTTATGTTAGAATTTTCTTGTTCTTCAAATTCTTTATTATTTAAAACGCTTAACTTTTCTTTTCTATCCATAATACAGTATCCTTTCTGTTCACTATCTAATTCATCATTATTATTACAGGAAGTATTTGTAATATCAAAATTTATAGGAATATTGTTTTTTATATTAAATGTTCCTTGATTACTAATAGACTTTTTTATACCATTATTTTCAATTTCATTGTTATACTCATTATTTATCCCTTTTATATTTTCTCCCTTTTTCATATTATTAATAATACCATTATTCATTACCAATAAATTGTCATTATTCAATATATTTGAGCCATAATTATTATAACTTAATTTATTTTCTTCATTGTTATTTCCTTTTCTATATTTAATTTTAATGAAATTTAATCTATTTTTTAAAAAAATAAAATCATAATAACTTAAAAATTTATAAAATTTTATTTTTACATTTTTATACTTTCGCATTTCATCTGTAAGAATTTTTTCTAATTTATATTCTGAATCACTTATGTTTTGAATATTCTTCAAATAGTTTAAACATAATATATTATTTCTTATCATTTTTTTTAGCATTTCTAAATTATTAAATTCGAATGATACCCACACAATTTTATCTCCGAAATCAATTATTGCATTTGTTTTATATTTCATATTATTTTTTTTTTTCTTTTTAATTCTTCTCGCATCTTCTATTTTTTTATAAAGTCTAATACTTGATAAATTTCTTGATTCATTCGTTAATTTGCATTTTAATCTGTTTATACCTTTAAGTTTCATTTTTTTATCTAGTTTCATTTGGATACTTTCCTTTTCTATGAACACATTTACACAATTACTCTTTTTTATGTAATCATTTATATCAGATTCATTTACATTTGATTTTATCTTACTACTTGCATCCTCTTTTGCATTATTCTCAATTAATTTATATGAACTTCTATTATGATTTTCAACTTCCTTATTATAATTATCGATATTCATATTATTATTATTATCATTGTTGTTCTTATAATTTGAATTATTTATCATGAGTTCATTTTGTTTATATTCAGAATTTTCCATATTATTTAAACTATAATTTTTCTCCTCACTTTTATTTAAGTTATCTATTTTTTCTACCTGTTCTTTTATCTTATTCTCTATATTTAATTTATCTTCTGGCATTTTTACTTCAATATCACTTATATTTTCTTTATATATATTTAATTGATGTAATTTTTCTCTTGAATTAATAGGTTTATTATTTAAATTATTTTCACACATTTCATTATTAATATTATTTTTTGAACTATTTTCTGTTGTTTTTCCTTTCATTTTTATCATACTGTTTTCATTAATATGCTCATTCAATTTTTCATTCCTCGAAGTTCCTGAAGAACATGAATAAAAAGGTTTATCTAAATTTTGATTTGTAACTTCCTTGATTTCATTATCTTTATTAGCATTCATTGCATTATTGCTTTCTATTTCTACTAATGTATTGTTATTTAACTCTTTATTTGGTTGTACAGCATTATTAATAGATTCCTTACTTTTATTTATTAACTTTTTTTTTTTCTTTTTTTTGAATAATGCATATTTCCTTATTTTATAATCACCCCTGTTTATGCTCATTTTAAAATTATTTCCATACCATTGATAATAACTCTTTTCATAATTCTTTTTTCGTTTTAATACTGTTCTTATATTATGACATAAGTTTTTTTTATATACGTTTACTAATTCTTGTAAATTATCATTTAATTCTACATTTAAAAATTCATTTATAGAATATGTTCTGTATTTTTTTGATAATATTTTTTCAATAAGTGAACTTTGACTTGATGCATTTTTATTCTCACTGTAATTCTTTATTTTAGTCAAACTTAAATTATCTCCATTGAAATAAGAATTACCGTATGAATTATCATTTAATAAATCATTATTGTGAACATTCTCATAACATATATTATTTTTTGAAATTAATTTTGAACTATTAGGTATGATATTATCATATTTTTCTTCATTCATATTAAGAGTACAATTATTTTGTGTTAATATATCATAATCATTATTTTTTAAACAATTTTCATTGATCTCTTTTTTTTTTTTTAGTAGAGTTTCAAAAAAAATATTATTATTTGCACTCATCGATACACTTTTAAAAAAGTTAGATTTTTCTTTATTGTTTTTATTACTACCATAATTATAATTTAACCAGTTATTATAGAAATTCGTATGGGTAAAATTATTATCAAACTTTAATTGTGATATATCTAAAAATTTTTCGATAGTTAAAAAAATGTCTTCATATAACTGAGAATAACTATTATTTTTGAAATTGTGTTTATCATTTAATTTAATTAAATTTAATTTATTTAAAATATCATTATAATCACGAAAGAAAATTTTAAAGTTTATATTTAATGAGTCATTATAAAGAGGGAAATTTCTCTCACTATCACTTGTTTTATCATCAGTATCATCATCACATTCATCTTCATTTTCATCCATAAACCAATCATAATTTTTTTCTAATTTTATTTTTTTAAAAATGTTATCATATTTACTCCAATTAATTTTTATACTTCTCAAATTTTGATTATTATTTAAATCATCATCTTTTATATGTTTTAAATCATTTTTATTTTTTTTTTTACTATTGTTATTGTTATATGCAGAATTATTTTTGCTTTGATATCCAGACAAATTATTGTTTCCAATTACTAAATATTTTTTTTTAGAATTTTTCTCACCATTGATATTATTACTTAATAAAATTTTTGCATTGTTATTGTTGTTATTCATACTTGAGTGATCAATTATAGACATTTGTTCATTGTTTATTAAAAATTGATCATATGCATAATTTTCAATTTTAACATTTTTCATATTTTTATTTATAAAATTATTTTTATTTACATAATTTATTAAATTAAAATTATTACCAATAGGATTTACATCTCTATTTATAATATTATTATTCACAACTATTTTATTTATAGGATAATTATCTGTAGAATGCTTCATATTATTTATATTGATAAAATTTGAATTCATCATATTCATATTTAACATGTTATTATTTCTTATGTTGTTTTTCAATATATTACTTGAAATAATATTATTTTGTGCCATTTTATTATTAATTAAATTGTCTTGTAATATGTTATTATTATTTCTGAACATATTGTTATTAATAACATTATCTTTCATTTTATTTTTATTCATAGAGTTTTGTATAATTCCCTTATTCACTATATTATTAGGTATTGAATTTCTATTTATATTTGTATTCATATAGTTATTCATTTGATTAATCGTATGATTATTTAAATGTATATTGATATTATTATTTTTATTATTTACAACTGTATTTAATTTGTTATTTACATTCAACGGATTACTCAACGCCTTGTTCATTTGATTGCTTATTTGATTATTCATCTGATTTCCTATTTTATTAGTTATGGGACTATTTAATTGATTATTTAGAGGATTATTATTCATTTGATTATTTAACTGAATATTTAATGTATTTTTTTTTTGATTATCCATATGAATATTTAAATTGTTATTTAAAGGATTGGTTATATTATTTAATGAATTATTTATCTGGCTGTTTATATTACCGGGTATATTGCCATTCATATGATTGCTCACATGGTAATTTAATTTATTATTGATATGATTATTAGCATTATTTATTTTTTGATGGTTTATATGGATATTAAAATTATTCATATTATTGTTTGCATTATTAGGAATTTGAGTATTTACAGGATTATTCATTATTCTATTCATTTGATTAAAACTATTTTTCATAACATTATTTCTAAATGGGTTGTTAATTTTATTCATCTGTGGATTTAATGGTTTATTCATTGTATTTATAATATTATTATTTATTGGATTATTAATATTCAGAGGAATTTGATTACTTTGATTAACATAATTTGGTATATATGGAATACTTACTCGATTATTTAAATACATATTAAAATTATTACTACCCATTTGATTGCTCATTTGATTATTTATTTGAGTATTTACTTGATTATTCATCTGATTATTCATTTGATTACTTATTTGAGTATTTATTTGGTTACTCATTTGATTGTTTATTTGATTGTTTATTTGATGACTCATTTGACTATTCAATTGGTTACTCATTTGATTATTCATTTGGCTACCCATATGAGTGTTTATTTGGTTACTCATTTGGTTACCCATATGAGTATTTATTTGATTATTCATTTGATTACCCATATGGGTATTTATTTGATTATTCATTTGATTACCAATATGAGTATTCATTTGATTATTCATTTGATTATTCATTTGATTATTTATTTGATTATTTATTTGATTATTCATTTGATTGTTCATTTGATTATTTATTTGATTATTCATTTGATTACTAATTTGATGATTTATTTTGTTTGGATAATTGTTCACCTGCATATTTGGTTTATTTAAGTTATCATTCAAAAAATTTTCCTTTATATTACTACTTAATAAAATTGGATTATTTATGTTTCCAATATTATTTAAATAATTAGAATTTTTTAAATTGTAAAAATTATTTCCCAAAATATTATTTCCACTATTTTTAACATTCAAAATGTCATTATTTTTTTTGTTTCTTTTCAAATTATTCAATTTATTTATGTTTCTACTTTTATCATTTAGTTTTTTTTTTTTTTTTTTTTTTTTTGTTTCATTATTATCATTCTCCATATAATTATCATTATTTTCTCCTGTATCTTCATCTTCATCATCATCTTTTTTTTCATCTCTATCATCATGATGATCATTATCTCTTCCTTCACCTTCTTGATTATTATTATATTTATCACCATTATTATTAGCAGAATTATTGTTATTATATATATTATCACTCTCATTGTTACTATTTTGCTCAATATTTTCATTTCTATTAGCTCTATTATTATCACTGCTATCACTATTATTATTATTATCAACATGATTATTTCTATAATTACTGTTATTTTTATTACTTCTGTCAAAAGTATTTTTTTTAATTTTATTATACTTAAAATTATGTATTTCATAAAAATTATTTTCTTTGTTATTTCTCTTTTTTATATTTTTCTTAATAATATAATAAGAATTATTTTTAATATATTCATATTCATTATAAAATAAAAAAATAATGTATTTATTATTAATATATTTTAATGTATCTATAAATATTGAAATATAATAATTTTTTCTTAATATTTTTTCTTCTCTCCCATTTTTATAAATATGCATTATTGACAACCAATTTAAAAAAACAGATAAATTATGTAATATCAAAAATGAATAAAAATATAAATTTTTATTTCTGTCATTATTATTTTCAATAATTTTTACATTATTTAATTCATTCACTAAAGACTTACAACAATTTTTGGTATTTCTACTTTTATAAAAATTTTTTTCCTTAATTTTTTTCTTCATTTTATTGAACATTTCGAAATTTCCTTTTTTGTTATTGTAATTCTTGTTATATAATATATTTGCTAATATATTAAAAAATAATACCATTTTTAATGTACTTAAATATATATAAGAAATTAATATATTGTAAATAATAAAAAGGAAAAAGATGTGTATTTTATATATTGATAAAAATATGGAATATAAAGATATATTCATTACTTTTATATAAATTGTATAAAATAATATTTTTAACAACGTTATATTATAATTTATATTACTATTCTTAAAAGTAAAATCATAGTTCCTATAAATATTTTTTTCTTTTAGATTTAAAACAGATGTAATAATATTAATATTATTCAGTTTTATATTTGTACTATATATTTTTCCAACATTTTTATTATTATTAATATATTTTAAGTAAATATTGTGATTATCATGTTTTATTTTGTTTAAATATATAATATATGGAACTTCTTTTTTATTTAATAAACTAAAAGGCATCCTATTCTTATCATTATCACAATTCATTCGGCGTAATTTTTCACTATATAGAATTGAATTTACTTGATAAATGTATCCATCACATCTGTTAATAAATTTTTTGTTCTTCATAAAACTCGCTTCTATCAAAAATAATCTGCACAATTTACCATTTTTTTTTAACTCTTTAATTTTATTACACAATTTAATACATCTTCTTTCATAAAATGAAAAATATAACATAAATAAATAAAAAAGTGTCAACAAAAATAAAACAATATAATCAATTATATAATTTCTAACTATACTATAATTATCATTACAAATATGTCTAATGACTAAATTTATTATATTGATAATAAAATATAAAACTTTAAAATCACAAAAATTGAAGACATATCTATTTATGATTTCATAAATATATGTAAAAAAATTTTTTTTTTTTTTTTTTATATATAAGGAAATATATAAAATTTCTTTATTTTTATTTATATACATTAAGAAGTAATATATAAAGACGGAAATCAAATAAATCACTAAAAAAAAAAAAATTAACATGCAATAATTTACTGATGTAGCACAATTCACAGGATTATTAGTTCTATACATAATATTAAACCAGTCATATATAATATATAAAGTAGAAACACAAAGAAAATTAATTTTATTAATGGCACTAATATATGTAAACGTAAATAATGCATAATAAAAATAATGTTTTAAATTACTTAAAATAAAATCTTTATTTTTTTTTTTAAACAATGAATTATTATTTATAAAATCATTTACAAAATATGAAAATAATACTACATTCAAAAACAAAAAAAAAATAACAAAAGTTATATTTTTCATATTAATGTAATTCATCATCTTAATTATGATATAATTAACAACAAAATATATCATACATGACAAAAAATTCTCCCTAAATATATTATCATTTATATTATTTATGTTAGTATACATTAATATGTTTTGAAACAATATGATAAATTTTAAATATTCTATAATTATATATGTATAATATAAAATTAAAAATAGAGAATATATATATAATTTAAGCATTGTTATTGTATATATAATCAAAGAAATCTGGTTATTACATTTATTACAATTTTTCATCATTAATAGATTATTCGTTAAATATGTAAGTACTGACAATGTATTATCATAAATATATAAATAAAATATTTTGTTTCGGAAATCATTTAGTATTAAGTAAATTATTTTATTTACATATTTTTTTATTTTAGCATATATATTCATATAAATTAAATAACTTGAATAACAATTATCATTTCTTTTTCTTAATATAAGATTATTACTGTTCATTAAAAATAAACTATTTAAACTTATTTTGTAGTATAATATGCTATATATATGAATTTTATTATTTAGGTGAATTTGTTTGTTTAATTTACAACATTTATTCCTATTATAATTATTAACATAATTAATTTTATTAATATGATTATTAGAAATATCATTAAAATTAATTTCACAATTATCATCTATTTTTCTATTAGGTAATATAATAAAAAAAAATTTCTTATAATAATGTATACATATTATAATAATTCCTGATAATTCACAAAACAAATATTTAAGTAATAAAGAATTAATAATAATGGAATTATGACAACATATATTACAAAGACAGTCAAACACGGTTAAACTACTATCCTTTTTAATTTTCTGTAATTTTTTAAAAAACTTCTTAATTTTAATTATTTTATAATTTATGTAAATATTTGTACTATTTTGGAATAAATATTTTAAAATAAAACAATAACAATTTTTAAAATTTTCTAAATATATTTTTAAAAGTTTATTACAGCTTAACTGAAAAAATAATTTCCCCTCAATAATATAATAAATTATGTTAGAAAAATTCATTGATTTTTTAATATTCACATTTCTAAAATTTGAAAAAATAAAATCCTCAAAATTACTGTTTAATAGTAATTTATTACTTTTATCCAGGATAATTATGTTTTTTCTTTTAGAATCAAAATCTTTAATACATAGATGACATTTTTTACTAGAAATATTTTCATTAAATATAAAAAATTTCAAATAAAAATATATATCTTTGTATGAATATATTTTTGAATAATAAAAAAGATTTTGTGATAATTCCTGAAACTTTTTTTTTAAAATATGTTTTAAGCTACAGTTGAGTACATCATTTGACTTTACATAATTATTAATATTTTGAATATTCAAAAAAATAACTCTGTATTTGTTATGTTTTTTTTTTATTACTGATATTAAACAGAAAGTTAAGTTTTTACATATTTTATCTGAAATTTTTTCCTTATATAAATAACTTTTCTTTAACGAGTACATATTTATTATCTTCGTTTTATGCGCTATGTAAAAAAAATTTTTTTTTCTCTCTTTCTTTAATAAATTTTTTTTTATTCTAATATACTTAACCTTTTTACAAAAAAATAATTTTTTACTTTTTCCATTTTTTAAAAAATTGTTATTTTTGAATAAGGGATTTTCATTTGCTTTAAAATATTGAAAACCGTTTTCATTCTTTTTTAATATATTTTCTCTATTAATATTTATTTTCAATTTATTGCTTTTGTTAATTCCATATAATAATAATATTATATGCCTACTTTTTATATTATCTTTTTTTAATTCATTAATTTTTTTATTTAAAATGTAAATAATAATTAAGTAAAACATTTCTTTTCCAATATGTGTATATTTCAAGCTAAAACAATCCACTTTCATGTTTATTTCGTTATAAATTTTGTATTTATCTTGATTAATTAAAAAATCTGAGAACGTAAAGTTGAGTTTATTCTCATGAATCACTTTTTTTACGCTCAAATGTTGAATATAATCCATTTTTATATTTTAACAAGTCAAAAATGATTATGTAAATATATTTTTTTTTTTTTTTCTCTTAAACATTTTAAAAAAATTCCTTATATTTATAGAATTACTTTTAAAAATAAGATATTCTTAAGGGACAAAAAAAAAAAAAAAAAAAAAAAAAAAAAATTTATATATAAATATATATATATATATATATATAAAATTTCAAATGCTTAAAGTAATAAAAAAAAATTTAACAAGAAAAAAAAAAAAGAATTATGAAAAAGGTAAAAAAAGTGCAAAATAAAAAAAAAAAAAAAAAAAAAAATTTTAAAAAAAAAAAAAAAAAAAAAAAAAAAAAATTCTGAAAAAAAATGAAAAAAAGAAAAAAAATGAAAAAATTTTCAAAAATTTGCGAATTTATGCGTAAATTTCTTTTGCATTAATATATTTACCATTAAGATACTTTTTTTTTTAATTTTTTTTTTTTTTTTTTTAAGGTTAAAATTTGTATTTTTTATTTAATCTGCATTTGAAAATTTTATATAGGAAAAAAAAATATAAAAACATTAATATATTTCTATGTATATGATACTAAGAATAACATAAAAGAATATTATTATTAAATAACACAATAATGTATTAAAAAAAATATAGTATTCTTTAATGCGCAAAAAATATTATTACCAATATATTTTATATGCACACTAAAAATTATGATCAGAAAAAAAAAAAAAAAAAAAAAAAAAAAAAATCAATATTAAAAAAAACACACACGAAGAAGAATTCAAGAGAATTATATTTTTATCATTTAAAAGAAAAATAAGTTTTATTATA